ACCACTTTCAAACAGGATGGCTCGTCTCATCCAGATGCAGATAAATGTGGTATAAATAAACTCTACATATCAGCATGAAAGAGACATTCTGCAGCAGAAGAAGCACAGCTGAAACTAGAATAAGTCAGTCACTAAAAGCAGGGCTAATAATCTGATTGTAATTCTGCAATATGAGCGCCAGTAGAAGTAAGAAAAAAATAAAAATAAAAAGGTTAAAGTTGCATTACTTATATGATGAAAAATACACTTTCTTCATTTCTCAATTTTACATTTGATCAGAACCATTGAGCTAAATCCAACATACAGAAATGAATTTCAAAAGTGTGACTATTCAAACGGCATCAACTTAAAGCTTCAAATGAGGCCGACGTATGTGAAACGGCTCGCGACATAAACGGCTGTTTCGTTGGTCTTGAAACCAGATCTGCAGGTTTTTCGTAACGGAGCCACAGCAGGTCGAGGGTTGTGTGAGAAGGTTGGGACTGTGAGAAGTGCACCTGACAGACGGACAGACATCCAGCCGTGTTATAGAGGCGCTCTGAGATCTGAGCCCGGAGACAAACCTGACCCTGACCGACAGCAACACCGTGGCCGATCCTTTTCCAGGCCTGTCTCATCCACTTTAGCTTACCCGCTCTCATCTCTCTCTCTCTCTCCCTCTGTCTGACGCTGAGCCCTGGCTCTCTGTTTGTCCGTGCGTCCACACAGTTTTCTTTGGATGCATACTCACGTGCCCCTTCACATTCTTTCTGATTCGATCTAAAATGTCTACTGCCTCCTTCCTGCTGTTCTCCTCTTGTGGAAACAACACATTTATAGGAAAGCTATGGGAAAGGACCGGGTCTAAGGTTTAAAAAAAAAAAAAAAAAAAAAAAAAAAAAAAGGGACTAAAATGACAGAATTGATCTGAAACTTCCTTCGCAGTTGTGCACATTTTTCATGGAATAGTTCTTTAGATGGATGAAGGTAAGTTCAAGGGAACAGTCTGAGAGCTATCTTGCACTGAACACATCATTGTGAAAAACAAATACCACAAAGCAGTAGCACCCCGCGCGCTGATGAGTACAACAGACACATCTGTTCAACGTGCAAATTATAACGTAGAGGCTGAACGTGGAATATATTTTGACAAATGTAAGGCGTCGACGGCGGAGAAACACTCCTTACACGAGGACACGATGATGGACATTACCGCTGACTGAAGGCATTTTTCATAATACAAAAGAAGCTGCAGATTACAGTCGTCATTATGTTTCAGCTACCGCCGCAATCAAATGATTCTTCAATCAATTTTCTTTATAACTTAAAGCATCAAGCTTTCAAACTGCATTTTCACGATTTACTTTGCAATGCGCTAATATCAGGCCTGCACAGTAGTCTCATCTGATTTGCATATCCTCTGTAAAAACTGGATAATACAAGTCAAACTATGGCACAGCAATTTCGTGGTGTGTGTGTGTGTGTGTGTGCCTGTTCAAACACACTGTGTGGTAGTGTGGGTGTGGCGTTACACCTCGTGTGGCACTGGGCAGCCAAGATAAGAGCTGATCCTATCCATGCCTCCCTTCTGCAGCGCCCGCCCACCCATACACACCCACCCACACACAACATACACACACACAGTGTGGTACCCAACATGCCATTGTAATCTCATTTTACAATCCTGAGGCCCACAGCCGCAAAACACACAGAGAAGCCAACTAAACCCAGATTTCACGCGTACAGTAGGCTGGCGAGTGAGTTAAGGTGATACCAGCTAGGTCACCTGGTAGAGAGGGCGCCACATGCACCACAGCTGAGTCTTTACCACAGGTTCAAATCCAATCCGTGACCATGTCTTCCCCTCTCTCCACCTTTCCTGTCTATCTTCACCTGTAATATCGAATTAAGATGAAAAAGCCCAAAAATAATCTATAAAAGAAAAAGATGATACACACTTTTAAAATATACAACGGCCAGCTGAGGTCTCAGACTGCAGGAAAGATAGTTGGGCCCAAAGCAGCATCACTCATTCACACACAGCACAAGGTACAGAGTGGAAACACTCATGCTGGTGCTTTCAACACTCACATTTTAGACGATAGAAACATTTTTGTTATGCCTTGGAAATCGGAACAGCATGCGAAAACTGTAAGGAACGACACAGCGGAGAGAAAACTATGCTTCAGGAGAGGAGAGGAGAGGGAGAGCTTACCTTCCTCCTCTGTGAGATAGAGAGAGTTAACCTTTGGGTACAAACACGCACCTTTCTCTCTAATTCACCAAGATTTTTAGTGATGCACACACACACACACACACACACACACACACACACACACACACA